GAACACCAAAAGGCCGAGTCAGCAAAAAGATTTCTGCTGGATCGTGAAGAAGTAATTCGTTTTGTTCAGGTATCATCGCTCACGCGGTGGACCAGCAGAAACGGATAGCTGACAAGAATGGAATACCAAGTGTGCTTTCATTTAATGAAGGCAATTTCGTACCACTATCTACGGTAAGCCTACCTAGACACGTATTGACTAATGTGGGCACCAGTAAACTACTGCCCAAAGTCATCGGTCCCATTCGTGTGCTGCGCCAACCAGGCAACGCATGCACGATCGAGCTGCCACGTAGAATGCGCAATCATCCTACGTTTTACGTGGGGCGTCTTCGCCCGTGCTGTCAGTACGAGCCCTATTCCGATGTGAAGATACCCCTAGGTTCAAGAACCTCCATTAGATTTTTGCGCTTGCGCTCCAGACTATCAGTCTGGATGCGTAACGAAAGAACTTTACTCTTAGTTCAGAGATCTTTCAACAAACTATCCCTAGCTCTTCAACAAGGGAGCGGACATCGCTCTCAACCTTTGTTGGGTGGGGGGGGGTTAATCGGCACGATCCTTCGCCCTATCAGTCTCCCAATCCTTGCGGTGCTCCCGCACGGAATCGGTCAGAGCGTAGATCCCGTCTGCTAAGGCTCCGAATCCTCACGCAATTATTAAATTGCGTGATCCATCTCGTACGGATCTAGATGGTGAGCAGAACGACCTGGAGGAGGTTTTCCTCCTCCTCCACATCCTTTAGTGGATTTTTAAAGTGGTCAACACTTCCTTGTGGAGCGTATCTTAAACCACCGTGACGATTCAGGATCAAGGACGAGTTACTTCGTCCAGTGGCGGGGGTATCTACTCTCGTGGAACCGCTGAAGCGGGGCTACTAGCCGATGATGGATGCGCCCTATCTCGTCCAGCAGCATGACGAGACACACCCTTCGATGAAAGTTTATCGTCGTACGAACACCCGCCGCATTTATCAAAAAATTCTAAATTCTGGATCCCTTGGTACATCTTAGACTAGATTCGCGCTTCCAATAAGGCTGATTGAGGAGAAAGACCTCTATAGGTGCGCGAACAGAGTTGTCACACAACTCTGACAAATCTATTCATAAGGGAGTCAAGGTAAACCTGACTCTCGGGACAATTGGTGCAATTTGTATCGAGCACCGGATGGATACTTCTGTTCAAACTTATTGTGAGCTACAGTAAGTTTGATAATCCAATCATTTCGTCCAAAGTTTTCGATGTTGTTGATTAACAAGCTCCACGCTTGCGCCAACGAGACTTCGTCTCGATTTTAATTGCCGTGAAACCATTGATGTCGAAAAAAAGACATTAATGTAGAAATTCTATTCAGTGCGATAATTTTGCGCACTGACATCAAGACCATGGAGGCTCGATAATTGATAAGGGAAATCTGACAAATCGCAGTGGTTTAACCAAACCACTGCCTAAGACTGCGTTGATAAAGCATACATGGCCTATTTCAGGAGCATACTGTAACACGTTACGATCCTGCTCCTCTTGCGTAGTGCTGACATAAACAATGGCGATATGATCAACGCAATAACTGAGATTGCTACGGCTACGATAATCCGTGAAGAATCATCGGCATCATTGCGATGACTGATGTCCTCATTTTTCTCACGCGCATCATACACGAGCAAACGCGATCGTTCCGACGCCCGCGACAAATGCTCAGATTCGTCGGATCGGCCGAACGTCGCATGGCGCGGAGCCTTATCGATACTGTTATGAGGCTTAGTAGTCGTCGTTATCGCACCCACAGATATACAGCTGGGATTGCGGGCGATTTCCAGTCGGAAAGGGGGTCCAACTCGCCCGAATAAAGCAACTCTATATTGAAGTTGACGAACATGGGAATACCACGCGCAGCGGAAGTTGCAAATAAAGAAGCTGCACGTGATCACGCCCGTGCACCTGCAGCATCGGGTGTTCCAGGCTGCTTTTTAGCAGCAGGCGAAGAAATGCTTGCTGCCCAGTCTTGGTTTGCTTGTTCTCCGGCTGCAAGCATCTGTGCAGACGCTTTATCGGCGGCCTTGTTCGCGCAGCGCAAGGACGGATTCGTCATGCGCTGAAAAGTTGAAATGAGGAGTCAAAACCAACAAGTACTCCATTTCCCCCAGAGCGACGAGACGGTGGTCACTCTTTCACCAATAAATTAATATAACATAAATTAGTGACTGATGGCTTGCGTAATGATGTAACAGGGTGAGCTCTATACATAAATTCGATACGAATCTATCAATGTCTGAAAATAACCTTTTTCGATAATATTATAATCAATATTACTCGAAAAGAGGTAATGTTGGCAAAATGTTACTCTTAAGCGTTATATTATTGGGTGCCACACTTACTGGCTGATAGAAACGCTTACATCAACCAAATTAACCACCAATCGTTGCTGGACGCGCGCAATGGATGGTGAGCAAGAAACCCACATTTGAGATTGTAATTAAATATGGTTAGATGGAGACAAAGAAGGCCTATTAAAGAGACTTGACTATATTAAATACAATTCTACTTTTTTCGTTAAACAAAGCTACGAGTTCTGTTTACTTCCTCGCGCTTCCTCACGCCACGTGCACATGACGTCGGGAGCATGCAGAGTTGTGTTTGGTTAACACAAGGTCTTGTCAGTCATCTGACAAGAGCGTGCCTCTTGCCATACCCTGTATTCAGTTGTCATCAATGTGATACTAAACATTGTCCATATTGTTGTCAAATGTTTTGTACGTATCGTATTACTTGCGTCAGAGCTTACCGACAAGCATTATAAATTTACACAATCGAACTGAATTCGAAAATAATACGAACGGATATAAAATAGTAACAAATAATTACGGAAAAATGCACCTGAAATGGAAACATATAATTATGCAAAATCAGCTTCTCAGAGAATAATATTGATGTTGTCGTCGAAGTGTAGACCAAATTTGTAGCAAATTGAAAGTTTTAACCTCTAAATGACGAAATGGAATCAGAAGAATCATTTATGTTTATCCATTATTACTTTTGTATGATCCAAGCACGCCACTGCCTATGCAACACGATGTGTTACACCATGTTGCAAGCGTTATTCATCTATGTATCGCACGTAAAGTAACTGTGATAATTTTGTATCATAATGACGTGCCAGTTAATTGTGATGTGGTGATACCGATAGGACCGATATACCTGGACTTGAACACATGAGTTCATAAATTTAGATATCAATCTGGCCTCTACAGATGCAAACAACGAATTTATAAACACAATCGATTATCACCAACGTAACTGCCACTATTAAAACTTCTTTTTGCGACAAACATTGCGCTTTGTCTCTATCCCGCGCTTTTTCTACGGGCGTTCCGCTTTGTCTATTTGCCGGAATCTACATGATACCAGCGTACAAAAATCTCTGCCAGCTCGTCAGTGCTTTGTTGGATCTTGCTGCCATCGTTACCCGTCTTCTTTGCTACTTTCGATCGTTCTTAAACGTTTCATTGTTTTCGTCCCTGTAAAGTAACGCTTTGAAACTGTAATGCATCATCCCTTGTGAGTTTTGTGATACCGACAAATCGGCAGCTACACATCGTTACAATACCAAACCCTAACATCAAGAATAATGATACAAAACAATGTGGCCTCACATAGGACGATAAAAGCCCCTTAGTTTACGCTTGAAGTGTTCACGCACCCTTCGTAAGTTTGATTGACTTCCGACGAGATGGGTGAACAGGTGCTTAGTCAATGAATGAAAGAGAAGGAGGAAATCGATGTATGTGAATGCATGTGAGTGGTGTGAACATGTGTTATTGTTCGAATAGTATGCATCTTGTGGTGTCTACGTAATTATCGTGATATATCGAGATGTTTACTTATACTTTCCAAGTTGTAGCGCATTTCATATCGCTTACGCATACTAATGCAGTGTTATCGAAATTTAACCTGTGTATGGATTTATATTTTTGGTTATTTTCTGGATTTTTATTATATCTGGTGCATTTTTATATTTTAAGTATTATATGTCACCGGCATTCATGAATACAACTCTGGCGTAGGAAGCGTTGGGGCAGTCGCTACGGGCGCCACGTTTTTGGAATAATGCACAGCTTTTTTGCGCCGTCAATCGGGTCTGCTTTTACAGAAAGTAAAGTAAAAATATTTACGTGTATACTGAGAGGCGTTGCAAGCAAGTACTGTTTCAACTAGTTGGCTCCGGGATGATCGATGTTGTTCCCTCGGTTGAAAACGGCCATCGCGTCTTTACATTTGCGATCACATGTAATAATTCGATACGAGAAAGCATATCACCGACCACTACATCAAACACTATAACGCTGGTTGTCAAGTGGTGGCTTTGGATTGGCTTAATGTGTTGTAGCAGGTTGTTTTGGCGTGCTTGACAGCGACGTTGTTGCATCCAAATTGGTTTCGGTTTCTTCACCAAGCCATTCGTGCTCTTTTCATCGTGTTGTGACCCAGGCGAAGTTACGAACTAAATCATGAGCTTGCCACGCGAGCCCTTCCCACGTACAAGTAGCGGATGTTTTTTTATTACAAGAGTTTCGACAGTCTACATTAAACGAGTAATGTCATGTGCAATGGGGTCCTGAGACTCAAGTCCTGCTGATTATGTGAGGACACACATGCGCATATTCTGGAATGTTTCCCGACGCACCTCGGCCTGTAGTCAATCATCAACGCAAAGAGTTCAGAGGAGTTAGCAACTGCAAAAAACGAAAAGCACGTCAATACAGAAATTTGACAAAGTCAAATGACGTTAGAGACGAGAACGAACGCAACGGTTCGTATTTTATTACGCATCGATGTAAGGCGCGTATTACACAGTAAAAACAATTTTCAGCTCGACTCTTCGAGCCTGACAACTTCCCATTCGTTTTTAACCCTGTGACATCGTCCAGAAGTTACGTGTAGTTTGCGCCGTAGCAGATATCCATTGAAGCGCTGGTGAGTCGACGTCCTAGCAACCCAGATAGACTAAGCAACAGCAGCAGCATTCCTAGCAGCAGCAGCAGCAGCACCTTTCCTATCAGCAGCTTCAGCAGCTGCATCGACTTTCTCTCGTTTACGAACTGCTGCACGAGCTATTTTTATGTTGGCAGCATCAGATTTGGCAGCTTTTTTTCGAGCCGCCTTCCCTTGTCGCCCCGCGTAGTACACGGAGTACTGCCTCACCAACTCGTCTCTTGTCGTTGGTTTGGCCTTCTTTATGCTCTTCAAGAACTTGAAATCATTCGGAGTAAGGCCTTTTTTGAAATACGTTTTGAATTGGGCCATCTTGTAGCGATCACGAACGCTCGCACGCCCAATCTTCAGGTTTTTGATCTTGTTCACAGCATTCGCGCCCTTGCCATTGATCTTTTTGAGCGTCGGATTCTTGGCTGCCGCTTTCCAGACTGGGTCCAGCATTCTGCGAGGCTTGTCGATCTTGTTCGGATCCGCCATGGAAAGCATCTTCTTTCGACTTTGAGCCCTGACCGCAGCAAGCATCACCAGGTCCACCGCTTTCCCAGCAGTAGAGTCCACCCCCTTGACAAGCAGATTCTTCATACCGCCACCCACGTTCCTCGCCTCATCTTCAGGTCGTAATGCCAATGGGTCTCCTTGCGCTTCAGCCGCTTTCGTAAGCCTCTCCGTGTCTGCTTTGTCGACATGGTCATCCGCCGCGCCATCCACTCGAGCGACGTCCGGCTCGATATCAGCTTTCGACTTAGCAGCAGTCGCGAACGCATCGATGCAAGTGCAAGAGACGACCAGAGCCGCCGCCGCGATGTACACCAGACGCATGCTGAGTGTTTATTCAGTTGGAAGAGAGTGGAGTGCTGGGTGTCGGTCGAATTGTCGAATGGGGAACGGAGATGCTCCTGTCCCAACGTTTCAGCGCTCCGATGGAAGAGATCCGGTCCGAGAACGTTTGCTCGTCGTGACGGCAGCGACGGGACGGTCTGTCCAGAACAATAGCGCGAGATGTTGTTGCTGAGGTAGAAATTGGGCTCCGCGTACGACATGTGCGTGGAGTGTTTGGTGTTAGCACGGACGTCTGTTTGTGATTCCTACTCAATCCAAGAGATAATGTACACCAAGTCGAGCAGACGTTTTCGTAGAGCAACGGCTGTTCAACTTATTTTATAAAGAGTGACGTACTCGATTTTGCACCATCCGTAAAATCGAGTGCGTCACTCTTCTCGCTCAAGTGCCAGTCTTATACACGCGTAACACGCAAATACTCTTGTGACGACTTTGTGGGGTGAGAGAGCTCAAACGAAGCTGATGTCAGATGATCCGCCCGGCGCGACTGTACGTCCTTACCGTTGTGTGTGTGAGAGAGAGGAGCAGACTATCATAAGAGCTACGGATCATTACTTCGGATGTGCTCGCTCGATACTCTAGGCGTCACGGAGGACACTTCCGGGAGGCCACGTGAGAATGACCGTCGACCAGGTCCGGACTTAGAACTGTGTGTGCACTCTTGGCCGATGGCTGGGCTGCGCTCGCGCTTCGATCTGCTTCGCTCCCCTCCCGTACCGCAACATACCAGCGGGTTGTTGTTCGTTCGGGTCGAACGCTGCGTCGCCTTCCGTAGCACGCGCAGCGGAGAGATGGCCTATCCCCTTAAAAATTCTTGGCCCAAGGGGGACCAAGAACTTTTAAGGGGATAGGCCTTCTCTCAGTAAGTCCTCGTCCACAAGGTAAGGGGGCGTAAAAGCGGCATTGAAGAGATTCTGATCTCTGTCCGTCGTTGCTCGAAGAGCACAAACGGGGAGGTGCATCCTTACGGTTGTTGTCCCTGGTGCCCTTGAGGCTCGAAGTACACATTGACAGCGACCTGAGATTCGGTCTGTAGCATTCCGATGCAAGACTTTGAAGAGGGATCGACGATGCTTCGTGGCCCATAGGATGCGAACATGTACATTTCGTGCCTGCCTGGGCATCACCAGGCTTGCATTCGGCAACATGATGTCAGCCAGGTAGAATTTGTCTGCCGACCCAATCGTCCCTTCGTCGGCCGTCTGACTGACCTAGTAAATGGTACGAGAGATGCTGTAGTATCTTGCTCGCGGTCCCGCACCACATCAAAGTCAACCTCGTGTGCGAGTATATTGCCGGCCAACACACGCGCGCAGACTATGAGCAACTGCATGATCATCTCATTTTACGCAGCTTGTGGAAAACACTCAACATGAGGACCCTTCTAGGCACCATAGGGCTCTTGCGACATATTTCAAATCCACGTCTTTGCTCAGGTCAGTGTGCAAAAGAGCAACTTCAGGCGTCTCGTCTGCAATAGCCAATCGGCTGGATGTCTGTCCTTGAGATTTGAGAAGCCGTCTGTTTGGTGGCATATGCTGTTCGGCAGTCTGTCCTTGTGTTATAAGAAGCCGCACAACATATGCCACCGAACAGACCACATCATGGACGTCTGTTCGGTGGCACAAGTTGCACGGCTTCTTAAAACACAAGGACAGACAGCCAGCCGATCGGCTTTTGCAGTCGTATTGCCACGACGATGACTCCAGCAACAACATTTTACGACAAAGAGGATATCTGCTTCTGACGATACAAACTTCTACGAGGAGAACGACCCGACATAGCATCTACGGTCAAAAGCGATACTCATATTATCACTGGTAGCACCTGAACTACTACTAACTACGACTTTGCGATCGCATCAACGCCGTGCCTCTTCTTTGCATATGCAGTCCTCACGCAGCTCATCTGCAGCGCTTTGAAGCTCTCGTGCCCGACGTCTCCGTGTCGCTTTGAGACCGTGTTGTAGCTATTGAATGTATTGGCATTCTCCTCTACAAAGATAGCTGTCGGGAGTCAAGTTCTTGCTGGACAATGAGCTGCTCGTTGATTCATTGAGTGAGCTCACGCTTACGGATTTCGGAGAGCTCCATGACACGTCGCGCCGTTTCTACCCCAGCGTGTTCGTCCATTAACTCCTGGGCGAGAAACGACGCGTGACCGTCACCCCGAGGCTGTGAAGTTTCGGCGCGTTTTAGTTTGAACGACGCTGCAATCCAGCCATAGAGTGTGCGACGTACAGCTTCTGTTTGGTTCACGCATTGTGCGTCGCTCGAGAGTATTCACAATCCAATACTGCTTGCGCTTGGGCAGCTTGCTGACACGTCCGTATCGTCGCTGAACTCGGTAAGGTGAGGATTCACGAGTTTGACATCCTCTCGGCCGCGGCATAGGATCGAACACTCGTCTCAGTGACACACCAGCTGCGGAACGCTGTGGACTGGGTGCTGCAGAGAAACCTAAAGTTGTGATGGATCGCGAGACGAGACTGCTGCTGGTTGGAAAGCTGATTGGCAGTTTTGAGGTGTTAAGGAGCTACAGCATGCACTGCGTGTCACGAGTTGGCGCACTGAGTGATGGAGAATATTGTGACGATGAAGTGGTGGACAGGCTTGTGGTTGGACGAAGATGTCGCGAGTTTGTCGGCTTTCAGCTAGTGTATCGTTAATTTACCGAGGGGATCGTGTCAGCGTGTGCTGTGCAGGATCACGAGAAGCGATGTCTTAGACAAGATTTATGTGCTCAGTTTGCTCCTACTTGCAGTTGCAGTGATTGTTCTGATGATATTGATCAGATATCGATGATGTCCGTTCCCCTATGCGCATGTGCCCTTTGCAATCTATCCGAATGTACTGCTTGTAGGTGGTCAACCGCAGCAACTACAACCACCCGGTCGAAACGTAGCTGTCGTACATTTAGGCACGATTCCAAAAATCAAAGGGACGCACCGGTACAAGCTGTGGGGCAGCACACAACGTCGTTGGCAAGTGTATGGACAAGCTCAAACGGACCCTCTGATGTGAAGATGTCGAACAACGACACAATGGTGCAAGAGTGATTGTTTTACGGCTTCCCGAATGAAACAGGACGAGTAAGCGCATGAGGACCGAATACCGAACGGAGGATGTCACTGCTACTTTTTGCGGACCGAGATAGGTGTATTGGAAGTATGGGAGCTAACTGTGGAGTTGAGCCTATTGCGAAGTAGACCGACTTATGCTTTGTGAATTACTGACCGGATGGATGAAGTTGCCTTCACCAAATGAGAGCATCAGAGAGATTGAGAAGCAAGAAGTGTGCTAATTAGTTGAGCGGCGTCGTTTCATCCGCTCGCAGCGTAAGATGTCGATCTCTCGACATCTCAGCTTTATCAGTGCGTCCACTTATGGACGTGGTCGCTTGTACTAAAACGATAGAACGTCGACTTTGGGCTTCTACTGCTCGCTTTACAGCACTGATCCGTTTCACCCGAAGCTTTTGCATACATTGGTCTGTTCTTGCATTGATCATGGAGGGGCTGACGCGAGTGGCATCTGAAAGTGATAAAGCATTATGGCTGCTTTGTTTCGACGCGAAGTGGAAAGCGTGCTATCTCTGTCAGACCACGCTGGTAGATTCGTGAGGTCCGGCGTTATTACAAGCGTACTTTCACGGTAGCTCGTTGCTGGCATAAACATTACTTTCTGCGGTGTTGTGCTAGGGTGCCGTGCTCGACAAAAAGATGCTACGCATCCACAGCATGTAACGCGGCACCGGCACCTACGTACTGGGCTGCCAGTACGGAGTCAATCTTACTGAAAACAGTGAAGGTTAGTGCCCTGCTAGGTATGCGCACTATACAGAGGGAGGGTAACCGACCAATACAAAGTCTCTAGTCGTAGGAATAGTAAAACTCTTTTTAGGATAATTAAGTCCGATATCCCTTATTCTCTGATTTGTCATAACTTAATAATAAATAAATGTAACTAAACGTATGATGGCGTTTACTCACGACCCATTGCGCGCGTCTAGCAGCAATTTGGGAGTTTAAATAAACCCATTGTCAACCAATGAGTTGACATTTGGGTCATATCAACAATTTAACAATATAAAATAATATGGTAAAAGAATATTCAACACGATATTATTTACCACCATTTCTAACAATCAGGGATGTTAATTGACTGGTCGCATAACATAAGTAACCGTCGCGGTCACTTGATCGGTCAATTGACCCTAAGTGACCATAAGTGACCACGACATATTTCAATCACAATTCTTTTAAGGACGGGGCTAAATACATTTTAACATTTCATTATGTTCAACAAAAGATTTTGGACGCTATAGGCCTGGTTACTGCATCTCCGACAGCGTCTTTGAGACCTATAGACGTTTAAACAATGTGTGCGATAATGAAGGACGGATCTTGATATACGTAAATTCCCTTTTATGATGTGTTGTGCCTATGCGTCTTCATTTGTAAGATATACAAGATATAACGAGGTTGCTATCGTATTGGTAGTCAAGACGAACGCTGCAGACGTAATAAGGCTCCTCAATTCGCAAGTTGCAACTGTAAGTGCTGAAAGGTGATAAGTGTACGGCGAGAAGAGTCGCGGTGTGCACAACGAGTCGCTTTCAGTTCCATTATCTTGTGTAGGTGTGCGTGAGTATCTAGTGGCTGTGCACATGAATGTCTCATGAGCAGGTTAACCTGAGGTAAATTTGCACTAAGCTCAGGAGAGAGCAAGTGCCGTTGGGGTGCACAGAAATGATAAGTAACAAGTACATGTTGTTGGAAACTAAGTGAACTATGCATTAACTGCGATATGATTAATGCATCGCAATAACCTGTTTCGTGCTGAAGCATCTGACTAGTGTTTTAAGAATTCAGTATCAGGAAGACGTGACAGAACCTCTCTCTTAACATCAGTAGAAATCTTATCGCAGGCTCTGGCGAGGTGCTCAAGAATGTCATTGGTCTCTCCACCCTTACAAAT